GTGAGACGGGAAAGACTTTCTCTCCCTCGTGAAAGTCGAGGGGGCGACTTGTTAGTCGAGCAATCGGTCGTGGAGGTACCGGCCAATTTTTGGCGTAGGCCGTATAGGGAATGGCCAACTCCAACCCTGTTCGGGTTGGGGCAAATCTCGAGCGACATGACCGACGACAAGATTGTGAAGCTGCGGACGTCCATCTGTATGCCAAGATAAATTCACATGTTCGCTCTGTATCGAAAGGAGCGGATACACTGCCCACCGCCCGGATATATAGGGGTTTTCGAGAAATCGATCGCATTTGAGCTCCGATTTCCCCTTCCGCGAATCCTATCCAAATATCTCCGAGATTGGGTAATTGCTTTCAGCCAAGTATCCCCCATCGCATGGCTGAAGATAATCAGTCTACTCGTGCTCTTTAACGAGCAAGGTTGGGAACCTCCGAGTATCACTGCTAGAGATGCGACGTTCAAAGATCTAGTAAGGTCCCCGAAACGATTTGCAAGTACAAACAATCGTGGTTGTGGGTCGGACGGGGATGGTAGACGCCGAGATCGGATGGAGATGTTGGGGCATCAGAATTTCTAATCGTCCCCACTAAATTTGTCTCTAAGATTTGTGAGTTTGTCTTTTCTCGTCGCTTAAATCGAGTATTCTGATTTTTTCTATTTTCTGTGTTCGTACTAATAGGCCGACTTCCACTTTTTCAGCGAGGAGTTCGGTGATGCCCGAGTTGCACGGTTCGTTCATCAACACATATAAATAGTAAAATTTATATATTAAATAGTCAAGACCTACAAAAATAAATTAAAAAATAAAAAATATTTAAATAAACTTTATATTATTACAGACTTGATGTATTGTATCGAATAGAATTAGCATGCTATTTTATATAATTTAACAGTATTTAAATAATAAAACATTAATTTATAGTATACCTCGTGCATCACACAGGTATCAACACTAGCTGATAATTTTAAGAAGAGTTGAATTTAAATTAAATTTGAGTTGTGAACTTGTGATTACAAAAATCTAGTCAAGATTTATATCCAAGCACTCCTAAAAACCATGGGCAATTGGGTGTATTCATTTGGAATTTTTAAAGACTTTAGAAATTCTGTTATATTTAATTTAGACCTTTTAAGTTCTTTTGAGATTTTAAAAAGTTTTAAAAAAAAAATCATGAGGTATATAACTTACTGAAAATTCTACTCAAAATATCACCTCCAGACTTAACATTTTATAGAATTCATCCAAAATTTGAAAATTTTAAAAAGTCTTAATTATCAAATGTACCAAAATGTCATTCGAAATCCCAAAGCCAAGAAACAAATATAGGGGGGTGTATTCAATTGAGATTTTTAGTGACATTTTGAGTCCTTTTAAGATTTGAGGTTTTTTAAAATTTTCATATTTTGGATGAATTCTGTGAGATCTTAAATCTCGTATAATTTTTTTCTTTATAAGTCCCACCAAATCCTTATGTCTTATTTTCTTGGTCTGGGCCGTTGGCCTCTGTGTGAGCGGGAGTAATTGATTATCCTGTGAGGTCCAGCTCCTGTCTCTATTCTCATGTGGGGAGATTTTCGTTGTAGATTTTCTATGCGTTTGTTGTGTGGTTGTTTCGAGTGTCTTGTTTTGGCTTCTAGCTTTTGCTATTGTCGGGCTTCTAGGCGGTCGTCAGACCTGTCCTCCCATTATATTCAGCTTTGGGTTACGTTCTAAGTTGTATCTTTGCACATTTGTGCGTTTGTTATATAAATTCTCTATCGTTTCGGAAAAAAAAAAATCCCACCAAATCCTAGTATCAAATAAGTAACTCAAGATACTTTTTAAAATCTCAATTGAATACACAAAGACTTTTAAAATATAATTTGAAGCAACAATATTTAATTTTATTGTCATGCATTTAATTATACTAGTGTATGTCCCGTGCGATGCACGGAAGAGTTCATATTTTAAACATTTTTTAGACTTTATTTTAAATATAATTATTTATATTTTTCACATCTCGTCTATTATGAAAATAAAATAAATACAATCAATGAAAAATATAAAATATTAAATACTTTTCTTTATACAATATTTTTTATTTAAGGAATATTATTAAACCTTACGATTTTGATTTGTTTTTTTAAATCAAGAATCCAAAAAATATGATTGTTAACGTACAAAAAATAATGGAAATAATCCAGACTTTAAAGTAAAGCTATTTTTTATTATTTTACAAATAAATATTTTCCAATTTTTTTTTTTAATTTTAAAAAAAAAAATTGGAAAGTTTGATAATGAGTTAAATCAAGTTATACAAATGATTAAATAGTTAAAATGTTATATTAATTATATTTTAAGAAATCCGATTATATAAAAATGGGTAAAAAAATATTATACTAATTAGTTTGTTAGGATTGTGATTATATGGAAGTTAAAATAAAATGAAATGTAACCAAAAAATTTGTTCGTGGTTTTTTCCTAAATGTTTGAATTTAAAAATCTAGTAACCAAATTTACATTATATCACGTAAGGAAAAAAATAAATAATAAATATTTATTAAAGAGATAAATCAATAATATTTATCACTTAGATAATAAATAATAAATATTTACATGTAAAAAAATAAATAATAATATATTTAAAAATATAAGTCAGAATTTCAAATAAAGTAAAAGGAGGGATAACTCATTTTTTAAAAAAAGTTTCTAAATATTTAATATATTGATAAGTATCTCCATAAGAATAATCATACCATTTTAATTTTAAAAAAATTGGCAAGTTTGTTAGAGAGATAAATCCGGTTAGACAAATGATTAATTTGTTAAGATATTATATTAATTGTATCATAAAAAATCGGTTAGATAATGTAGATAAAAAAATATAATACTAATTAGTTTGTTAGAAATGTGATAATGAAAACCAAGATAAAATGAAATTTACCCAAAAAAATTGTTTGGAATCTTTTCCTTTAAATGTTTGAATTTACAAATTTAATACCGAAATTCTATTATATCACATAAGGAAAAAATAAATAATAAACGTTTATTAATATATTAAAATATGTAATTTTGAATTTCATATAAAGTAAAAGGTATGCTTATTCAAATTTATTTTTAAAATAAAAGTTATGATAAACATTTATTGATTCTCTTTCAAATATATTAATAAAATAAAAATATAAATCTAAACAAATTTTGAAACAACCAAAAAATCAGATTGATTGGCATAAAAGAAGGAAGTGAAATCGGATTTGAATGCTAAAATCGGAACACCTTACCAAATTGAATGCTAAAAGATTCGATTTGATTGGTTACCTAATTGCATGGGCTGAAAAAATTAAAAAAAAAATTTACGAATTGAAGAAGCGGGAAAACACTATATTGAAGCGGGAAAACGAAATGATTATTTTCGAATTGTTCAAATAATTTTTCTTCTCCGTATTATATAGTAATAGATTTTCCCTCCAAAAATTTCAGCATTTAATTATATTGCTTTCAATTCGCGCCTAAAACTGTTACACATATTATAATATATTTTTTTCTGTTTTTTTTTATTTTCTTTAATTCCTCACCTAATCATTAATTGCATGTATTTTTCAGCTAAATCAGCCTATTATATTAAAATATTTTTTTCCTCCAGGAATTTTAAATTTATTAGGTGCAGTAAACTACAACCTCAAACTAAATTGACATAAAAGTGTAAACATTGATGTATACTAATTTTAGTTGCAAGGAATTAAAAAAGAAATGAAATTAAAAAATTACAAATTTAAATTGAAAAAAATATCAATATCCAATCCGCTTTTGCTATGGTTCCTACAAAATAATAAAAAATAAATTAATAAATTAAATATTAGCTTCACAAATAAAAATTAACAAAAAACTGTTTTTTTTCATGTTTTATTCCTAACATATAATATCATGCGTAAACATATCATACTCTCGCACTTTTAAATAATTGTTATTATTGTTAAATGTGATATAAATAAGCAAAGACAACAAATAACAAAAAATCTAAAAAAACATATTACCCTATTTTGTAATTGATATCACATAATATCATGCTAATCTTACGAAAACACGTTTGTATCTATAAAAAATTCAAAATCTGTTATAAAAAAACTCTGCCTTTTTTTCATAAATTATTATTATTAAATATAGGATACTGAACTAAAAACAACAAATAAAACAAAGACTAAAATACATTTTTCCTATTTTATTATTTACATGACATAATATCATGCATAAATCATGCATAATATATATTAAATATAGCTACTGAAATCTGCATAATCTGACTTTCTTTATTTCTATAGCTGAAATCATGTATAAATTTCCTTTTTGTTCATCATTATTGTGTGGTTATTAGATTGACTGCTGTTGTTGTTGTTGTTGTTGTTGTTGTTGTTGTTGTTGTTGTTATTATTATTAGATTGCGCAAATTCTCAAAGTTTATCCCGAAATAGTTCCTTAATTGACATTACTAATGCTTCTTGGAGCGGCTTGGTTCCTCTGTAACAACGGGCGACAAAGAAAACGAGATCCCAAAAACGTCAGTTAACAAACTCGTCAATTGTAATTTTACGTATTTTATATAATAATTACTTTAAAATCCATATTTTTATAATTTTTACACATTTTTTTAATAAATTTATATTGTCAATAAGTCTACCATTAATTATTGTTTCAAATTATTTTTATTTTTGTACTAATAGTCCACTATTTTCCAATTTTATCGTCAAGTTTTCTATCATCGTTTCCTATGCTATGAGGATCGACAAGAGTCAATTTCAACCTCTGTCACACGTTGGCTTAGTACCGAAGAACCATGTTTTCAGTAATGACAATTGTATATAGCTCTTAATTCACATTTTTTTTGAATTAAATTATGACTTCATATTTTTGTTTCTCTTATTTTCTTATTTTTTTTTATGAATTTACCTGACTGTAAACGCACGAGTTGATTACTAATATTAACAAATAATTGAATACGCATAATTTGTAAAGTTTTAAAAATTCTAAAATTTCAATTGAATGCCCCTTAATAACTACTCTCTCTCTCTCTCTCTCGACATTTCTCGATCGAACTACCTTGGCGTGAGCTTCCCTCACCGAAATAACTTCTCCAAGAAAACCCCCTTTTCTCATCTCTCTCCTCTCTTGCCATCTCTCATGGCCTTTTTACCTCAAAATCACTTCCAACAATTCATTCAGCAGCCGTCCTCACAGCCCCAACAATCTAAGCCTTACAGGTAACACAAACCCAAAAGGCTGAGTTATTCCAACAAAGATCCATTTTTTTTTTTTCCTCTCTTGGGGTTTCGAATTTTCTTCAATTTTCAAGATTCCTCTTTTAATTGATTTTATCACCTGGGTTGTTCATATTCTCGTTTCTGTTTTTTTCTTTTTCAATTTTGCAGGGATATGTATAACAACAACAACATGGAGGGTCAGATTTCACAGCAAGTTGCCTACTTCAACACCCCGAATCTTCTTGATCACCACCCACCTTATATCCCTCCTTGTAAATTCTCTAATATTTCTTTTTAATTAACTAATTTGATGGGTTTCTTGGGAATTTTTCTTTCTTCTTTTGTGCCTGAGACGAATTTCTCAAATTTTCAGTTGAAGTGGCTGGATTGGCCCCAGGCCCGGCCCATGAGGAGAACGGGCCGGATCTACAGTGGAATTTTGGGCTCGAACAGAAGAGAAAGACACCAACGGAGCAAGTTTTCCTTGAGAACAGTATTAATATCAACAACAGCAATAATAACTCTCAGATGTCATCTGTGGATTTGTTGCAGGCCCGATCAGTATCTACTGGGCTGGGCCTCTCGTTGGATAATCCTCGATTGACTTGTTCTTCGGGTGACTCGGCTTTGATCGGTCTTGTGGGGGATGGTCTTGATCAGGAGTTGCAGAGACAGGATGCCGAGATTGATAGATATATTAAGCTTCAGGTGAGAAAATGTGGGCTTTTCTTTTCTTAATTCTTTTGTTTGGACAATTGATTTATTTCTTAGTTTGAAGTGTTGGTCTGTGATGATTAGATGACTTCTCTTTGGGATATGTAGCTTGTTAATTGGAAGATGTTTCTTGATTAGTACTTAAAATTTATACTTAACTTGAAAAACCTAGTGCTATGAATTTAGGATGGACCGTTTCTTGAATGCAACCGTTTGTTTATTTAGCTCTAAGTGGAAACTCTGGCTATTCCATTCATAATCACAAGCAGTTTAGGCATGGACTTTTATTAGTTGTTCTCTAAATTATCACTGTTTTGGATATTATTCTACTCTAAATTCCAGATCTTCTGACTTTGACTGTTCATAAACGCTAAACCGGCATCGCATGCAAAGTTAGAGCTCAATATACTTTAGAACGATTCGAAACTCTTTTTTGTTGGTTGGAATTGACTCTGATGCGATTAGCACAATTAACTCTTGATAATGACCTGTTATTCTATGGCAGATGTGTTGTTTTTGCATTTTCGGATATCTATTATGCTTAGTTGGGTCCTAAATACAGTTGTATTTGTTTTCCAAGATGTCATTGAAGAATGATCACGCTTCAAGACAACATAACCAAACATGTGGAAAATGGATTTGGCTCTTTTTACTGTTTCCAAAGCAGAACACCTTTTGAGATATTTTTTGTTTGTCCTTATAATACATGTTACTCACTCTTAAATCACAACTCGATTCTTTCAAAAAATGAAATTGTATCATTGTGATTAAGTGCAGAGAACCATCTTTGCTATCTATAAGTACATAGTGCCTTTCCAGGAGGACTAAGAAAACAAAGGAAGAAAAAATATTTCTTTTCTCGCTTGTAGCAATCAATTTCCAGATCTAGAGACATTAACTAGCTGGCTTAATATATAGCATCACTTGATTCCTCCCAATAATCATTGTTATATTTTTTTCCACTCTCGAAACAGGTTTAAACATACTTGAATTCTTTTTAGCCCACTCATGTTGTAAATTCCCATGAAAAAACGCAGTAACTCTCTTAACTCTAAGGAGCCAACTATAATGTGAAAGGGGTTATTTTTTTTCGCCCTTGAGAAAATGTTATATGTAAAAGAGATAAAATAAAAAACTCTACCGCACATTCATTTTTGGTAATTTTGATTATGTGCCGTCCTTCGTTTTGTTTCAATACATCATCATTTCCATTTCTGGACACTAATTTTTCTTTCTTAGTTAACCGAACAATCTTTTCGGATTAAAACATCTCGTTTTTTTTTTTGTTTTTTTATTTTTCATTTCTCTGTAGGGTGAACGCCTCAGGCAAGCAATCCTCGACAAATTCCAGGCGACCCAACTCCAAACCATGTCATACATCGAGGACAAAATCGTCCAAAAGCTACGCGAGAAAGAATTCGAGGTCGAGACCATCAACAGAAAAAACGCCGAGCTCGAGACACGCGTGGAGCAGCTGGCATTAGAAGCCAACGCCTGGCATCAACGTGCCAAACAAAGTGAAAACACCATCAACACCCTAAAGCTCAATTTACAACAAATGTACGCTCAGAGTCGGGATAGCAAAGAAGGGTATGGAGACAGCGAAATAGACGACACAGCCTCGTGCTGCAATGGTCAACCGGTTGACTCTCGTTCTCCAGCGATGACGTGTAAGGTTTGTGGTGTGAATGAGGTGTGCATGCTACTGTTGCCATGTAAGCATTTATGTTTATGCAGGGACTGTGAAGGGAGGGTGAGTGTGTGCCCCTTGTGCCAGTCGTCAAAGTATATAGGAATGGAAGTTTATATGTAGTGATGTGAATTTTTAATGCGTGACGTGCGGTTTGACCTTTGACTATCATCTTATTGTTGTGGATTTATGTGGTTTTAGTGTATGAGGTTGTGATGGGATGAAGTTTAGTGGTGTATGGGGAAGACGACTTATACATGAATCGAACTTTTTATTTTCTTTCTTCTGCTTTTTTATTTTTGGGTAAATTTATTGATTGCCGAACGGACATTTTGCTTGTGCTAAGAGATGTATAAATTGAGGATTTGTTTTGTGCATGTTCTCGTGATGAGTGTGTCGAGAATAGAACCGGCCTTCATTTTTTTCGAAAGGAAAGATAGTTTGAGAAATGATGTTTGATGAAGCAAGGCAAAACAGTACAATCCTTGTGCAGTTTACAGTGGTGATGATATCTTGGTGTGGTAAAATTCATGTGGAATTGGAGAAAGTTGTATTGTGGGTGAAGCTGTCAAAACGGGCCGGCAAGGCGAGCAGGCCCAACTTGCCCCACCGTGGGCCGCAGACCTGCCAGTTTTTTATTTTAATTTTTATTTTTTTTCAAGCTGATCGTTTTAAGCAAAATCGTTGAAGAACACAAGTCGCCACAATTTTATTACCGAGCGACACAAGTTGCACAACATCACCGAACAAGAAAAAAAAAAAGAAAATTTGACGAAAGAGATGCAAATAAAAAAAAGAATCCAAAAGCCTACGTATTGTGGAAACGGTGAAGAACCCAAGGGCGAAGGCGGTAGGTCCAAAAGAAATTCCAATTTTAGAAAATTGAAGCTCTAAGAGGTTACAATTTTGTGTCCGAATCCAAAATCAAACAACAAAAATAAGAAATGTCCGACGATAGGAAGAAGACAAGGGTCAGAGACAACAAGGGTAAACCAAAGATTGTTGATTCTCCAAAAAATCAACAAGAGTTCGATTCGAATTTCATACTTGATGAAGAGGAAGAAGAACATTCAAGTGAATTGAGTGCGGACATCTCAAATGACGATAGTGAGATGGGCTCGGACATATGCATGCGACTTAGGTTGTTTATATCTCGTTTATGTAGATTTAAGTTAATGTTATTTCAATGTTATATTTTTTTAGAATTTCTATTTTGAATGTCAAAGTGTATTATGTTTATCATGTTTCAGAATTGTTTATATGTTGATTATCTTATGTATAATTACATGTATTTTTTTGAATTTTGCAGACATTATCTAAAATTTGTCATATTTATTTACCATAACTATAGTCTATGGAACAATTATTTGCATCGTTGTTTGATTCTATCATATTAGCGTGTTTAATGTATATGTTTTGTCTAACTATCTATGTATAAGAGTCAATTACCTCAATGTTTTAAATCAATCAGGACATGTTTATCTGATGTATATATATATAATATATATTATTAGAGGAGATTTCATGAACAACAATTCATTTCTTTTCCTATCTCGATCAATGTTTTTTTTTTTTATTTTTAGCTATATGGACGATTTTTTTTTCGACATAACGAGGTCGATGAACAGAAAATCCCTTTTGAAATTTTGAATTTGTGAAACCTAAACTGTAGGTATCATACTTGGTAATTTTTTATTTGAATTTCCATTTTATCTGTGTATGTTCCGCCGAAATTGATTGCATATTCAATATATGGAGACAGAAACTAATATCATAGATGTGAAATAAAAATCACATCCAAATCTCTTCTTGATTAAAGTTTTTACTGTATGTACATATGTAAATATCTCTTACATAGAGTTTATATATAAGTTTCTTTAAAAAATGATGAAATTCAACGGAATGACACTATTTCAATGTTATTAATTCCAACTAAAATTGTAAGGAAAATTAATTCCAACAAAATATTTTAGCGTGGATCGTCCAGAATCTTTTGGAATGTTTACTGTAGGAATATGATATTTTTTTGTAGTGCATAAATCGCCCCATATTTTTTTGTAGAGCTAAATTGATTCAATGCCAAAATTAACTGATTAAGTAACTAATAAGTTAATCCACAAAATCTATACTTATATAAAAAGGGATCCTATTTATTACAAATAGTATCCAGAAAAGTCAACTGCAATTAATGTTATTACTATTTACAGCATGTATTTTATTTAGTTATTTTATATTAAAATTAATGTTATGCGATTCAATTAATGCTATTACTATTCACATACAATCGGTTTTCCTGCGATCGGTTTCAATTTTTTGTATATTTGTAATTTCCTTCTTATCTTCTATTTGTTTTATCCCATAAAATCTATTTAGTCAACAAAATCCCATAAAATCGTTTTAAACTTTTTGTAGATTGAAATCGAAATTTCCTTCTTATCTTTTTAGCAAAAATTTTATTATTTATGTATCGAAATTCTGTAATCTGATTTCAGATTGTATCATTTAGAATATATTATAGTTATATTATCAAATCATAAAAAGATACTAAATCTATATTGTAAAAAAAATAAGTCATATAATTTTATAACAATTTTACTACACTATTTTAACAGTATTCCTTTTTATTATATAATAATATAATAATTAAATATTATATAGTGAACAACAATAAGTAAAACGGTTACTTTCTCTTATATCAAGAGATAAATTTATATGCTAAAATTAAATTTTTATTAGTATAAACGTTTTAGTGAGATAATATATTCATTATTTTACATGTTAGCCCTAACATGCTCATATTTAATGTTCTGGCTAAAAAAAATAACCCTATTATATTTTAGACTTAAACGGACAAGGGTATGAAAATAACTCATTTAATACCTCTGTCCCGTGCATCGCACGGGATACGTACTAATATTATGAACAAGATGAATCCATTTCCCAGATTGCAACAGGTTTCATATTCAAATACATACTTACAAACAAACAATACCCCAAACCTCTACTCACCATGCCAAGCACTCAGGAACTTTTTTCATGCACTAAAAACTTTCGGAAAAAACTCTAAGCCCAATTTACTTCATTCCTCGTTGTCCATAAGCAGTTCTAATGTCATCACTTTTCTCACTCGCATGCCTAGAAAATATCCATGATGCATTAAAACGCATGACAAGTAAAGCATCCACTCAATGAACGAATCGGCCGAGTCTTCTGGAAGAATAATGCTCTGTCAGTTTGATTTCCGAGCATGGAGCCTCTCATTTCCTGGGCCTTTTTTTGGGCAGATCTCAGTTTGTTCATTATTTTATCCATGGATGATGACCTCTTCTTTTCCAGTTTCATCTATATAAACCAAACAAAAATCAATCAACTTGCGCAAAATTCTTAAGGTTCGTTTGTCATCATTTGCAAGTTACCTCGAGTTTTCTTATTGCAGTTTCGGCTTTCGCTTTCTGCAGGTTTTCCCAGGCTGTGATTTTTGCTTCCTCCCTTACAATCCTGCAATTGGTTAGTAGTTAAAAAGGTAGATGGATATAAACTTTTATTTATTTAATGAATTTGTGGTGAACAATTGTTCCACGAAATCATATTATAACAGTTCAATATACTTCAGATTTATCATTTTCCCTGAATTTTTTTAACTTTAAAAAAAACCACAAATGTATATTTACTTCTCCATACACATTGTTCGACAAAATCATATTATAACAATTCCAGACAAAAGGAAAACAAATAGTTTAGATTAATTTGAACAAACTCACTTCGAAATACTCTTGGATGCCTCCCTCATAGCTTCACAACCACCCGACTCAAAATTAACAGCCTTCCTTTTGCAGTCATCACTATTTCTACTTCTCCTTCTCGAATTCTGCAAAATCCCTTTATTCTTTTTGGACCACCTAGTCATTGTCACACGCTCGTCAACTGAAACATCCCGTATTTTGGGATTAAGACGTGACTCAACAACTGGCAGTGTAGCCTCAGAATAAGAAGACGAATGTCTTTGAGAGGACTGTATGCTGCTATTATCCGGACTCATTTGAGTAGCCATATCCCTTCTAGAAACAACACGAGATATGTTGTTGAACGAATCATCCTCTTGGGTCACGCCATTTATCTCATCTGATATATAAAAGAAGGAAATAAGTTCAATTCAGAAAAATACTACATTAGTAGTGCTGACCAATAGTAAGAAAGCAACTAGCAATTATGTCACGGTGTCCTGGGGAAAATAGAGCCAAAAATTACAATAAATTGAAACAGAGAAAAGAATAAAAATAAAATAAAATTAAAGATCAGTCTACTTAGCAAGAAACAGCAGTTACTTTCTCAAAAAACCACCTTTTGATACTGGTTCATATTTACAAGCTGCACTTGGTCAAGGGGTCATTTATCAAGCAAATACAAACCTCAACAAGTGCTTATGATACATTGTAGCCATGCTTGTAACTTAGAAATTAATAAAATATAATAAACCTCCTGAACTATAGAGTATGAAGGTTCTATTGTGATATGCCAACTATTATTTATCTTTTTTTTTTCATTTTTTTTTTTTTTCATTTTATACTCTTTTTCATTTTATACTCCAAACTATGCATTTAGTTCACTTTGTCCCCAGCCTAACCATAAACTACATATTTCTTCACATGTTCGCACAAGATTGAACAGAGATCACTCAGGGGTTGGGTAAAGTGAGAACAAAACGAACTTTTAGTTGAAGGGGTGTAAAATGCAACAAAAACAACGGCTGGGGGGCAAAGTGCAAAAACCACACTACTTCAAAAGATTTTAACATAAACTCACTCTTACTAAACTAAAAATTTTCCACAATTCAGCTACACTCAAAAGCAATTCCTACAACCATATGACCTTTTCTCCCCAAAAGCCTTCTCAAAGAATAAAAAAATGTAAAACAATTCCATTACCCGGGTGGTGTACCACAAAAGACGACTTTTCCACCAACTCAGAACATCCGTTTATGCTGATAGACCGTGCCATGCAAGGCTCGTTTCCCAAGAAAAACGGCGAGCTCTCAGCTAGCTTCCTTTTTTCCCTCCCCCCAATCTCGATCGTGGGTCCCACAGGAGTAAACATCTGGTAATAGGCCAATCCCGGGGGCCCGAGTGGCCCGCTCTTCGATTTGGGCTTATTTTGGGCCTGCTGGACCAAACCTGGCACAGGACTGAAAATCCACCTCTCGGCATCTTCCCATTTTGAAGGCAGAGTTCTTCCATTGTTATAATAGGACAACAATGGAGCATTTAAGTTTCTCCTGTTGAGGTTCGAGTGCAGAGGGACACGTTCTGAACTCCAGCCCTTTTGAATCCCGACTTTCGTTTGCCAGTTGTTGGGATGTTTCTTCATAGTTCCGAGTATTGGCGAAGAGGAATTTACGAGATTATTTACGGGGATGTTGAGGTCAATAGAAACGGGTCTCTGTTGGTTGGATTTTTTTTTCATGAGTGCCTCGGATCTTAATTTTCGGTCTTGACATTCTAAATTGAGAAGTATCAGAGCAACAACAAAGGAGGGGAAAGATATACCAGAGATAAATGAAACTTGGAGATTCTTGAATTGAGTTGTTTAACTATAATGTGTAAGTTACCTTTAAGGGCTTGAGAGAACGAACTTCTTGCGGAGGAGACTATGGCTGTACTCTCATCTTCCGTGGTCTCGGCCTCACTGCTCTCTACTTTTTGAACTAAAGTAAAACAATGTCATATTTGAGAGAGAATGATATAAGTTAGTTATTTGGTCCAAACTTTTTAAGTATTTTGCTCAAACCTTTTTTTTTTTTTTTGGCTTCTAAAATTCACCATTCAACTAGCTAGTAGCCTAGAACAACTATGCAGAAAAGTTCAAGAAATAATGTAAAAGCTGTACCTTTGGTTTTTACTTTTTTGCTGAGACTATTCATCTGTACTAGAGTGGGTTTGTTCGGATTCGGATCTGGGCCACTCAATACCTCAGACAATTCATGTCCTGCCAAATGCTGTTTCAAATCAAAGATTTCAACTTTCCACATTTTCCTTACTGGACATACATTGTTTTTTTTTTCTTTTCTTTTTTCCTCTCTAAATCGAAATAACAAAATTATTACAACAGCAGAGTCCAACCAAATGCTGAAAAGAAAAATTCATCTGTGACCAGATCTAACTCATAGATTCTTCCCACATTCCTCCACAGAAAAATAGGGGAAATATAATTATAAAAGAATGCATAGAATAATTTCCTCTACCAGGGCACTACTTTTACAGATTACTAGTCCATCTCATGTTGACCAATAAGCAAACAGTTGGCGAGCGTTGAAAATGTGTGCATAAAAAAATGGAAGATCTTAATACAGAAGCAGAAAAAGATACGAACTTGAACCAGATATGAGAAAATAAACGTGCAAATTAACCACATAAAACATAATCGAATAATATCAAAAATGCAAGCCATGAGGTGATGAAAACCGAAAAATAAAAATAAAAAGCAGTCGAGAAATTACGGAGGCAGCAGAATCTTGATCAGGCAAATCAGATGCAAAAGAGCATCTGTCGACACTAGCTGAAGCTGACGAGAAGAGGCTGAAGTTGGAAGACTCGGCGGTGAAAATCCCGGAATCCGGGCTCATATCGCGGGCCCTTAAACCCGATCCTAAGCCCTGAAAGCCCGCCGGCTCCGGCATTCTTACGGGGGGGCAAATAACGGGAAAAGGCTACTTCATGAAAAATGATGTGAAAAATACAATTTTTGTTGCTACTATTGGTTATATATATGAATTATATTTATAAAAAGTAAATGGTGCTGTCCTTATCGATAAATAATCATGTGAGTGTGGTGGGGTGTGATAGAAATATGATGTTCTGTTGGATTTACATTAAAAATGGTGATTTTTTGGAATTTGAGAAGGGATCAAGATTTGTTT